CCTTTGTATATATTCAAACAAGAATCATTACAAAGGTTGCCACAACGATTGCCTCTTTTCAAAATATTTTCAAAACCACACACAATGCACCATTTCAAACAATTGAAAAGCAAAAGCAAGTGACCTAAACAAGTAACTAAGAGCCCATGGAAAATCATGGATGAAAAGGGTGTTTGCACCTTCCCTTTTCATAATCTACCCCCCGAACCCAAGAAAACATCTCAAAGGTCTTTCCTGTGCTTTTTGACCTTTCCTTTGGATAAAATAAAAAGTCGGCGGCGACTCTTGCTAAACCGAAACATTTGCGAACACAAACACAAAACCTCAAGTCAGTTCTCCCACCGTACCACACTTGCAGTTCATAATATCAACATTTGTCAACTCTACGCAAGGTATTCCTCTAAGGCTGAAAACGTGTTCAAATTCTAAAGACACTGAAACATTGATTGGATGCATTGAGACTCGTGTCATATTGATAACTGTTTCATATGTTTACGTTATCCCTCTTTTCAGGAATAATTAATTCTAGTAATCATTTTCTTTAAACCCTTTTCTTGTTAATTAAGTCTCTTATTTTCCTATATATGCGTTGCTCACTTTCACTGTCACTTTTCCACTCTCAATTCCTTTCTCTCTCTTAATTGTGTTCAATCTTTCAAAAACCCTAAAGAGTCTGTGTGAAAAATGGCTTCCTCCCAACAACTTGCTCAAAGCTGTCAAAGCATTCCCGGATCTTCTTTCTCAACAGCAGAAAGGTACGAAGAATCCTCAAGAAATCTCCTCACTCCCATTGATTCGCTGGAAGTTCTGAGTGAGCTCATTGTAGACTTCGTCATCATGAAGGAAAACAAATATGATTTAACCCCTGGTGTTGAGTTCCAAGGATGGACCAAGTACTTTGATCGCCTACTGGGTCCAGTTTTTCCAAGACTTGTTAAAGAATTATGGATTCACGCTACAACTTCAAATCATCAGGTCACTTCTTTCGTGATGGGAAAGAAAATAGTCATCTCTGAAGATCTCATTGGGCAAATGATAGGTCACGACGGCGGCGGTATTTGTTGCAATGATATGGATGACAAAGGCTCTGATCTAACAAATATTTCAAAGGAAATATTTACTTCTGGCCAACCATCCAACAAAATCAAAGATCTGAAAGATTGCCTCAGAATTTGGTCAAAAATCATTTTGGGTTGCATCAATCACAGGAAACCCACAAGTTCTCCAGACTACATCAATATTGATCAACAATATCTTCTGTACTTCATAGCCACTAAAGCAAAGGTTAATCTCCCACATCTTTTGTTCAATAATCTAAAGACCAGCGTCAAAGAGACAAGATAAGAAGAAAGAACAAAGAGATATTGGATCCCTCTGGGCAGACCCATTTCAGATATTCTGACAGAAAACAAATTGATAGAACATCTGACTGAGGCTTAACAAGTCATCCCTCTGGAAGCTTGTACTGATAAACCTCTCAACGCCAGGAATCCGAAGAAGATGAAGATTATTGAAACCATCAAGAAGGATCCAACAATAAAAACCAAGAAAGTCATTACAAATAGAAGATGCTTCTCCAGATATTATTATAAGGTATCTGGATGCTTGTAAGAGGGACGAGACAAATTCAGAAGTAAACATCAGTGATCTAAGACAACAACCTCTGGAAGTTTCTCCCAGAAAATCAAGGAAAAGGAAAGTTGTTGCAGAAGGAACTTTCTCAGAAGACTCCTAAAGCTTCCAAAAAGAAAGGTAATCCATCTTTTATTTCTGTTATTGAATCAGTATTGTTATCAACATCTGAAAACCCTTCTTCTCCAAAACCCACAGAAGATCCATTGCCTCAAACCTTTGATGACTTTGACATAGACTTTGACACCTCATTATCTCTAGACAACCTCTTGAACAATCCACCTTCTACCCATCTTGACCAAAATCAACCAGAACTTGCACAAGTTCTCTCTGATATTGATCAATTTGATCCGCTGTTTGAAGCTCCCCAGATAGAAAATCCAAATCGTGACTCTGATACCACAACATCCATCCCTAGAATCACTTTCCCTCTCATGGTCTCCCAACCACAAACAAATCCACCAACATCTTCACAAAATCTCTTCATCCAGATATTCCATCTCCTTATCAATCCACTCTACCAAACTCACCAAATTCACCCATTGTTATTTCTGACTCTCCCTCTCCAAACAACCACCCATAAGATCCTCTTAGAACTGTTATAGACTTAGAAGCTTTGGACAATCTTGTTACAAGCTCTCAAAAAATTGTCATACCAAAACCAAAACCAAAAATCTCCAAAGCAGATGTTGATAAATCTTTGCTGATTTTTGAAACAGAAATACATAAATGGGTTAACTCTCCGAATCTAGCTTGCTTAGAGAATCTTAATCCAGTTGCTTCTGATTCTCATTAGAACCAGTTCAGAAAATGGTTCAACTCTGAATCTATGAAATTAAAGAAGCTTAGTTATGAAATAGCTCAACAGAACTTCTGCGATCAACTGACTATCTTCAAGGATCAGTTCAGCGACACTGGGAAAAGTAGCCACTCCTCCTGCTGGACAACAACCCTTGGGAAGATCACCAGTCATCAGAATATGGTGAACCGTCCTCTGATCCTCTTCCTCTGGTTATGTTTCAAGATAAAGGTAAGGAAGTTGAAGAAGCTCCCGAGTCGGAATCAGTCGTAGCTTGCTCTGAAAAAGTGGTACCTTCTGCTGAAATACCTTCCTCTTCTCTTGTACTACAAACTCTGGAGGAGCTGAAGAAAAAAAATGTTGTGTCTAAAGAAAGGCTAAACAAGCAGGATGAAACGTACAATGAAATTAAGGGAATGCTTGGAAAACAAGAAGAATCAAACAATCAAATTAAGAGTCTATTGGAAGCCTTGTTCACACGACTTCCACCACCTCAAACTTAATTATGAAACTTATTTTCTTCATTGTGTTTTTTTATTTGTTTCCTTTAGAATGTGTTTTTATTGGAATCTTTTTTAATACAACATGTCTTTTATTGTCTAAAGTGTTTTTATTGCTTTTTTATTCTTGATAAAAAAGGGGGAGAACGTAAGATATTTCGAATATAACAGTATTGAGATTCAGTCTCAAATATTTTGAATATCATAACTTCTATTGTTTTTTCTGAAAGCAAAATTAAAACAAACTCTGTTGAGGACAGATGTGGATGCATCATAAATATTTTTCTCAAAAACTCTGATCAGAACAATCTTCAGAGAAGTATTTCTTCTCTATCTGAGTATCCAACTCAGGAGGGGACTTTAAATGCTTTATGTTCTTTAAGTTTCTATCAAAATATCCAAGTTTTTGTCATCATCCAAAAGGGGGAGATTGCTAGAACACAGTTTGATTCTACAATCCTTGTAAGAGTTTTGATGATAACAAACACTCAAAGAACAATTATGCTCCCTAAATAAGTATTTTGTTTTCCAGAGAAGTTCTGATAAAAGAAGCACAGAAGATGAGTTAGATCGTTGTTTAAACTCTGATTCAACATATCATATATAGATCTTCATAAAACGCTTATATAAATAAATTCTAAAGCTACAACTTTTGAGTGCACTAAACGCTGCGAACAGGAACTCCGTTATTTTGATTCATACAGTTCTGGAAAGAACTAAAGAAGTCCCAACGGTAACATTCATCTTCTGAAGCGTTCTGAAGCAAGCATGTTCTGAAGCGTTACGTTTCATTCATGGCTATTCAAAAGTAACGGTTGAAAGAGGACAAGAATCTCTATGTTTGGAAAGTTTTTTAATTACTATTTATCAACATTCCAAAAGCTCCTCACATGCGTTGCCTATATAAACAAGACTTGAAGGAGAAATCGTTTACGATTTTGCTGTGCATAATAAACAATATATTTCATCACCTTCAACTTACTGAATTTTATTTGCGTATAACATCACTTGTGTGATACTGTTTTGTTAGAAAACACATCTTGTACACGCTTTCAAATATTGTATTGTGTAATACCTTGAGAAAATCGGGTTGTGGTTTAAACTCAAGAAGACTTTGACGGTTGTCATCGTATCTGTGTAATCAAGTTTGATTAGTGGATTAAGACCTCGTTGAGAGAGGCGAAATTACCTTGGCGGGTGGACCGAAGTAGTTTGAGTTCAAACGAATCAGGATAACTAACGTGTCTTTTATTTTAAGTTTTAAAAACCTCAATTCAAACCCCCTTCTCGTGTTTTTCCATTCTTCAAATAGATGTTCAATTTAGAAGATGTAAATAGAAATAAATTTCACCAAATAAAAATGATTAAATTAGTCTCTGAATGTGCTCACCTCAATAGACTTGTCAACTAAAACAAAGTAATTAATACAGATCCACAAAACCCACAGAACGTCACAAATTTGCATAAGCAATAATTGAACTACTAAATCAAACACTAACCCTAGAATTTAGGATCTAAATCTAACACTAACAGCAAAACTACAAAACCACAGAACCACAAAATCCTAAATCAAACAGTAAAATCAATTGAATTTGAAGTTTTAAATTACAGAAATAACTTAAATAGAGAAATAACCTTGGAGATGAAAAGTTTCAAGCTTGCACAAGAATGGCCTGTGGGTGTGCTTTGGATTCTGATGAAAAGGGAGTGTTTTGCGTTTTACTTCGGAGGTGGGAGGCGAACGGAGAAAGGAGACGACCGGGATGGCGGTGCGAGCGGCTCAGCGTAGATTCATTCATGTAAATTATTCGCACCATGCATGTAACTAGGGCAAACATGTATTCTCCCCTTCTTTCTTTTTTGTTCAGCTAAAGATTATTCATCATTGAAGAAGCAAAACCAGTACAACATAAATGATTTATAGAGTAGAGTAGAGTACGAATTACCGTGGAGAGTTTAATCTCCAAAGAAGTTGAAAAAGAGATACAAAGTTTGATTCTTTATTTCTAACATAGTAACCAACCATTAATACTAATATATGAACACGTGTTTCCCTTCGAGGTAAACCATTATTCAAAAAGTGCAAAGCTAGCATCCAAATTGTATTTTCCATTTCCATCTCTAAATGCTTCCAATGCAACCATTATATCATCATCATCTTGCAAGTTAAAGCCATAGCCATTCCTGATCTCTTGGTCATTAGTTTCCATATTATTATTATAATTGTTATTATTAATACTATCAGCCTCAAACGATAGTAAGCCTTCTCTGAAATTCAAATCATTTGCAGCAGTAAGAAGGTCCCAACTAGGAAAGCTCGATATGGATGTTGGAGAAAAAGGGTCATCCTCATTTGCAAGCATAATGGCACACATATTGCTATACACTGCATTGTTGTTAGTGGTTATTAACATTGATGATGATCTTGCTTCAGCTTCCAATCTAACATTCTCCCATTGAGTCATGTGTTTTATAGCAATATTGTCCTTGTCTTTGTTGTTGGATATTGGTTTATGAGTAATAGGATCAATGCCCATATTGATAAGTCTTTTCTTGATGTTAGTGTTCCAATGATTCTTTATCTCATTGTCTGTTCTTCTTGGTAGGAGAGCTGCTATTGTGGACCATCTGTAATATTGAAATCAAATGACATACATTGAGTAACATCCAACATGTATTGGTATCAGATAATAACAATATATATGATTATAAACACATTGAAGAATTAAATTTGTGATATTCATCCAAGATCCAATTCATAAAAAGAGCTCACTTGTTTCCGATAAGAGCATGCACTTGAATAATAGTTTGATCTTCCTCCAAACTAAAGTTTCCTCGTTTTATATAAGGACTCAAATAGTTTATCCACCTTAATCTACAACTCTTTCCACATCTTTGAAGACCTGCATATACATATATAAATGTGAAACTCATCATTTTTGGTTAACAAAATGTTCGTAACTAAGATTTGGACAGATGCATTTCTAACACATAACGATAGAATATAAGACAGATGCATTTTTCTGTCGCTAAATTTCTGTAACTATAAAAAATGATTGTTTGTATGAATATATAGAGAGACATATGTTACCTGCTCTAGTGGGCAAAGAATGCCAGTTTTCATGGCCATTTTGAGTAACATATGCTATAAGCTTCTTGTCTTCGTTTGGTGTCCATGGTCCTTTCTTCAACCCTATTACACTCCTACAGCATGGTCTCGTTCTCATTTTCAAATGACAAAGTTAAATGAATTAGATGTAGATCATATGTATGGTTGTTCTTAGTTATACATGTTGAGTAACACGTGCTATGCGTAGATTTATGAAATAGTAAAGTTTCTGTAGTAAGAGGTGACTCTTGGTCTTTTTAATTCAAAAGACCATACAATAATAGAATTGAAGGACAAATAATAGAGGTTAAAAAAAGTGTAGCAGATTGTGGTGCAGTACACATTAATTAGTTATAAATCTATAAAATAAGATATAATTTAATATATTCTAGTAGTGAAATGTTTAAAACAAAAGACAAAGTTGGTTATCAAAAAAATTTGAACGAGTAATCTTTAATTCTATGTCTTTACTACTAAATCAATATATATTGATGATAAATAATTCTCACGATTTATAGTAATATTAATCAATTTTAAATTTAAAATAAAAAATGTAAATTTGTATCCATGGATCACAAATCTAAGTCTTTTCAAATTAAATGATAGCCACTTTACAACACATAAGAGAACACACACAATTTTCACTTAAATACAATGATCACTTACACTTAACAAACAAAACATAATTTGAATAATAGATTTATATGAAGTTGTTGTACTTGTATCATTCTCTATAAAGAGAATGATCTTCTCTTCCAATAATCAATTCAAATAAATATAAGTTAGATTGTTCATAAACTTTTCTCGAATGTGATGTGAAAGATATGCAGAAAAAGTCGCACTTAAATTTTTTAATGATAAATACTTAACTTAATAATTCAAAATAAACATTCACTTATTTACTTATTTCAAATAACACACAAATAAATATTTACTTACTTGAAATAGATTTAATTACAGTTTTAGTCTCTATTTTATTTGATTGACGAAATTGGTCCCCTATTATAAATTTAAATAGTTTTAATCTCTCTATTTTAAATTTAAACAATTTTGTTAAAACTAACGATGTTTTTGTTTTTAAAATGACAAGTTACTTGTTAAATATGACAAATCATCCTATATAAATTTATTATTAAACTTTGTAGATAAAAATGTAAGTTAAAAGATCCTGGAATTAATATTACTATAAATCATGATAATCATCTATCACCAATGTACATTGACTTAGTGGTAAAGGCATACAGTGTGACTTAAGAGTCTTCTGTTCAATTCTTTTTTAGAACTAATTTTGGTTTTTTTGATATTTTTAAATCTGAATTGTTTAAAAATAAAATTGAAAATAAAAATAAAAAACAATTTAATATTTAAAAATTGAATAATAATAAATAAAATTTAATTTGGTGGTCCTGTCACAATTTAAAAGTTGGAAAAGAATTTGTTTAAAAAATTTTAACAGAAAGACTAATATAATCCGATTAAATTTTGTAAAGGATTAAATCATGTCTTTTTTGTGAAATATTAATTTGGGGTTTGTAATTTTTGTAATAGACTAAAATAGATCTTTACTCTCTATTTTAAAGGTTTCATTTTAAAAGTTGTTTTAGGATTCTAAAAAGGTTTGGAACCTTTAATTCTAAAGTTGTTTTAGGATTCTAAAAATGTTTGGAACCTTCAAATTTCCTTCAAAGATATTACAAGAGAATTATCTATTTGAGTAAAAACTTTTAACACACTGCTTGTACAACAAGTCTAAGAAGAAATTTTGTACTCTCTTGCCAATAAGGCAATTTTGGTAAAAATGTAAACTTATTAAAAGAATGAGAGAAAGAAATGATGGAAGAGTTTCTATTTAGAAGATTGGTGTGATTCGAAATGAGGAGAAATCTCATTTATATAGGAAAAAGTTTGGCTCACAAATATATTTTCAGTTTTTAATTGATCAAAACATATTGTAATCGATTAGTCCAATCAAAAAAGGAATGTTTGGCTTTCGATATCCATTAATTGATTTACAACCTTTTACATTGGTATAAGTGAAAAGACCCTCCGAGAGGGGGTGCTTAAACTCTGTCAAGATATGGGATGTAGCATGTTTCCATAGCTATAGGTTCCATAACCACCCATTTAATGAGATGTATGCTTATTTCTTGATTATGTCGCCTATTTCCTAGATTACTCGCCCGTTCGTGAGAATACGGGGAGTGACGTGTCTCGCTCCTTAATAGTACATGAGAGGGAGTCAAAATAGAAAGGTTATGTTCCACTGAATAATAGAGAAGTTGATTACCTACTTCCCATTGTCTTGATATAAGTTATTACTCTCTTGGAGCCTAAGGTCCAGAACCAAATATTTCTTATTGTTGTAACTGGTTTTAAAATGAGAGTCGTCACCCTTAATTTTTATCCTAAGGAAGGAGATATATAGGAATAACCATAAAAGTTAGATATTCTAGGTTTTTTAGACTCGGTTCTAGACGAAGGAAAGGTGTTAGGCACCACTCATCTACCTTGTTCACAAGGATACTAGGTTTAGAATTAATCTTTAGGGAAATAGGGTTTAATGTTTTATTAGGGGAACTCGCCACGATTTTAGTCGTATGTCTATGTATCCTCTTAGGAGGAATCAAAATTTTGTTAAGTTAGTAGAAAATGTTTGAATTGTTGGTTAGCTGTTTTGAGACGTAGAGCAGAATTTGAAAATAATTCTTCTTAATCCTTTTTCGAAAATAATCTTATAATTTTGTTAAGTTAGTAGAAAATGTTTGAATTGTTGGTTAGCTGTTTTGAGACGTAGAGCAGAGAGTCTGATATAGTCTCCTCATCACGTGGCGTGTCATTCGCGGATGGTGAATTTGGTGAATTGTGTAAATTTTGATTGTTTAATTTTAAATGATAAACTGATAGACGATGTGTCGACCGATTGAATTACTCGAAAATGGATATTCTATTATTTATAAGATGTTTGAATTAATTATTTGATTATAAAAAATATTTAGATTAATACATGTTTAAAAAGGTTTATTTACAAGTAATAAATATCTGCGCCTAATCGGAAACAACTAAATATATAAAAGACCAATATTTTAATTAAAGGAATAATCCAATAACCAAGTTAATTAAATAGCCTACGGTAAGAAACTAAGAGGTTAGAATAATTACTAAAAAAAAACCACTTAAATATAAGCAAAGCTAAATGTTATATCTACAGATAAACAATTAAGATATAGGCTAGAGTAAATAACTGGGCTTAAGCTATAACTGATAGCAATTGGAGTTGAAGGCCCATCATCTCTCTAAAACCTTAATTTCTAAATAAATAAATAACAAAAATGCAAACTTGTAATGATACATGGTCAGTGGCCCCGTGTGGCTGGCCGGAGACTGGACTGGAACCGTAGGTAAATCGTCGGGTTGGTGGGGTCGCGCAATGAAGGGATGACGTAAATGAGCTAGACGAAGGCCAGTATAGCATTCGGCGGCAGGGATGCAAAGTGCAGTTGTGGACTTCTCTTGCTTGTTCGTGAACGAATCCGTTTCTATTTTTAAATTTCAAAATCATCCTTGTTTGTACTATGATTATTATCTTTGTGTTATTGTTCTCTCAATTTCGGTCCCTGCAACTTTAAGAGAAATATAGAAGCACTGTTAGACAAATATCAGCAACAACAAAATGTTAGGTGTGAGTTTTTTTTGCCACGCTTTACTACTATGTAACCGTTGTTTACAGCCTTGGTTATATGATAAAAACAATGAGTTTGTGGAATCAATAAAAGTGTGTTCTCGTGAATATACAATATAAGGATTTTTGTGAATCTCCTGTGTTTATGTTTATCGTTTATGGAACCGGGGAAGATATTGGTTTATGGTTTTGCAGCAAGTTCAGATGAAATAGTAAGACTTTTTGGCTCAATTGAAGACAAAGGTTTCCGGCATGGTGAAATCATATGCAAATAGGATTTTGTATATGTTCTTTTATATATATATATATATATATATATATATATATATATATATATATATATATATATATATATATATATATATATATATGGACATAACGTGTAATTAGAATATGAATGAACAAAAATATTTAAAAAAATCATAATTTGGAAAAGAATATCACCATCATATATTATTATTATATGGAAAAAATAAATAAAAAACTATAAATAAACTCAATTCTTTATCAATTATGTTGTGTTACTCATTTATAAATAAACTCAATTTGAAAGTATATGAAAGATGTGCAGATATTTGCTATTTTAAAAATACAAATAATTTTGAAATGAAACATTATATTTTTAAATAGGTTTGGAAGCGAATATTTATAAAAATCAAATAATATTATAAAAACAAAGTTTAAAATATTTTTGACTGGACTTGAGAATAAACATCTATAAAAATCAAATAAAAATATTTTTTACTGTAGAAATAAAAGGGCGGAAAAATTTGGGGTATGACAGTTGCCCCTATTTAATCATCTTCCGATTGAATTGTGCGAGAATACGCAGATCTCGCATGTTCTGATCGAAAGTTTATTAAATATTGGAAGACCCTACAATTTGTCCAGAAAATTATAAGGATACCATGTACAGCGTTTCCATGGGTATGAAGAGCAAGCATAGATGGTGATGTACCATCTAATATGTGTTTGAGCCCAAATTGATTTAGATGTGAAAACGCGGAGTCCTGACAGTATCTAAGAAGAGATCGTTTGCATATCTACCGTAACCTAGGAGGTATATGATGCAGGTTTGAACAGTTAACTTCGCTAATGCTTGGAGACTAGTATAACAAGTTTTGGTTTCATTTGATTTTGTTTATCCATCGCAACCTAGGGGATGGATAAAACGAAGTTTGAAAACACATTGTCGCATAGAGACTGATGCAATAGAGTTATATCACAGGAAAACTGATAACAAACATTACTGCATAAAGACTGATGTGATGAGTTAAATCGAGGAAGAAACTTGATAATGACATTGCTGCCTGGAGATTGATGCAATGGATTCTGTTACAGAAAAAAATTTGACACTAACATTGTTGCATGGAGACTGATGCAATGGAAAAAGTTTGATAACAACATTGCTGCATGGAGACTGACACAATAAGTTAAAT